ATATATATATATATATATATATATATATATAAAAGCAGATTTTAAATGAGCACTGGAAAGATAACTCATTGCATCTGTAACAAGGGAAAACAAGGATTGGCTCACATTGTTGGCAATGTAACATCTTTTAAAACACTTTTGTTGCAGGATGTATCTGAAGGCCTGCATGTATGATTCAGAAATGTCTGACACACTGCTGGTGTTTCTGAGTTTATGTAATGGCTTTAGATGAATGTTTGTGTGGCACATATGAGAAATGCTTGTTTGAATGAGTCTAAAATGTTTCTGTTAATACATTTAAGGCTACATTCTAATTTATGTGCAACCCTTACAAAAAAGAAAGAAAAAATCCTTGAACAACTACAATATCGTCAGAAAACTGCTGTCAAACCAAGTGTGAAATGTATCCCAGTCCCATAAGTTGAAACACACACTTGTATGTACACAAGCAGCTTGTTTGGGGTGTATTGGTGGAGTTTTGCGGTATTTGCATGTCTGTCTGTGTATTTGTTGGTAGAATATGGGCTGTGGGAGGCAGTTTGACTCTGACCAGGACCTTCTCATCTATCAACGTCCCCATCTGTCTTACATGTCTCCCCCCCCTACCCTTACGACGGGCAAAGCCCTCACCCGCCCACCCTCACCCCTCTTCAGAAAATGGCTTCTTTGGAAGGTCTCTGATGTTAATGAGTCGTCCAGGACTTAGTCTCGCAGCTGTAAACAGAGAGCTGACGAGGTTAGTGGTTTGTTTATACACTGTTGTCACCCACTTGAAGGATGGCCTCTGTCCCAAGCAAGTAGGGAGCTTCCAGGCCTCATCATGAGTCCCCTCTCAGGCCCTGACACAGTGGCCCTGCCCCAGGGGGTTTCACTCCCACTTCTCCAACTGTAGTCCCTGCTTTCTTACATCTCAGACCATCGTGAATAAAAGGAATTTCATAAAGCCGTGTTTGTACGCTGATGGTGGTGTGTGTGTGCATGTGTGTGTGTGTGTGTGTGGGTGCTGATGCAGCGACCCAGACAGGGCAGTGTGGGAACACCAAGGGATGGATGGAGGGAGGGGGTGTGCAGCACCATGTCAAGCCTGGGAACCACTGTGTGTTTACCACAGGGAAACTGTACCAGTGCAGAACAATGAGTGAGCCTTACCCCTTCTAAATAAAAAAACGCATTTCTGCTTTCTTCTTCCCCCTAAAGGTCATGGAGTTAGAGATAGGGAGTCCACACAAAAGCCTCCAGTCTGTCGTCAGTCTGGTCTGGCCCCGTACGGTGCCAAGACTGAGGTCATTATCAACAGAGCAGTCCCGAGCTAAGCATATTTTTATAGATTGTGTGTGTATGTGTTTGCTTGGGAGCGAGGTGAACATGTGCATGCGCTTATTTGGTCAGGGCTGCGTGCACGAGCGATTCTTTGGCGTGCGTGTATGCGCAAAACAAGAGGCAGCGCGCAGAGTGCACAGAGCGCAGTTGTCAAATGTGAGACGTGCTGCAGTTTCTCTCATCGCAAATTAGTCTGAGATAAATGGCATTTTGCTGCGCTGAAAAGTTTACCCAGACATCAAACTGATTTGTGTGTCGTTATGATGTCCGAAGAGATATAACGTCAACAGACTGCTGATGGTGCACTTCACCCAGGCTATTAATGAGGCGGTGTGAAATTAGCACGCCTCGGCATGCTTGGAGGAGAGATGTTTGTTAGCTAATTAAAGAAACTCAATCATTTTATATGCGCCAATCAATTACCTGGAGCAGGTGGTAGAAACAGAACCTGACACTATGTCCTTATGTCTCACATCAGCTAACTACCCTAACTCACTTTACTACATTGTTGAGTGCTTTTATGGCCAGGAAGGCTAAACATTTGATATGACTCTTTGGTAGCTGCCAGTATACATGTGTAGCACTTCGCTGGACTGTTATTAGTTTAAAGGCAGCTGCCCAATCATGTTACATATGTACCTTTTTTGAAGATATCTGATTAATCATGTTTGACTTTATTCACTTTTCATCTTTAACCCAAACAGGATGTTGCGAGTATAGAACACAGAATTATCTATTTTATTCCAGTAGCCCATATTTTAATGACCCGTAT